GTTATCGAATTGAAATGGATTCACGTAGGTGGTCCACGTAATGTATTGGATTGGATCCTATATCGATAGTCCTATTACATTTCTCGTATTACAATAATACATTCTCATATTTTGATTGGTCATAAAACTTACGAATAAAATACAGAAACTTTACATATACATTTTCTTATGTAATCATAATAATATTTCAAAATGAAACGCCTATTTCTGTTAACAGGAAGCTACTGAACATTACTTATTTTAAACTACAACAATCAATCTAGCACAGTGTGTCAATTGATGTTAACTAAGTAGCCCTATCATGCACAGCACAAAACTGTGCAATTGATATGAAATTCCGCTAAGGATGCACAGTACAGTATATCATAGAAATAGTATACAAAATTTCCTTACATAATTAAATGTGCTAATTGGTCTGAAACCTATTTTAAGCCACACCCAGGATGACATCGTTTAAACTTCGTCATGCGAATACGGAAGGCGTGTCCGAATATCGAATTATTTAACAGATATAATGAACTCTTATAAGCTATGGCCCTATATATAGACGATTATATAAAGAGTATCTAATTTTAAGGTTGTATATTTTTTTATTTTAATCACATGTATATCGATCTGGTGACTAATAAAAAAAACAAGCAAATTTCGAATTTGGAACGTAAACTATTATAGTAATAATAATACGGCTGTAGTAAATTAATCATGCATTCAATAATTGATTCTAATGTACAGTCGATAGCCTCAATGTGACCCTGGCCTTAGCCGCACTAAAAGGGACAGTGTGTTACATTTATACATTTTAATGTCGATATGCTAATTTATTACTTTTTAAGGATAATAATAAGTTTTATCAAATATAACTATTTAAGCTGTATATATGAGAACACCCTTTGCATATCTGATTGGTCGAATAAACCAAAGAGGTTGTATACATATTTTTAATATATAAACAAACCTCTTTTTCAACAAAACTTTTTTCTATTCGGATTTATGACTAAAAACTTTTGTGACCATATCTGGCCTCTTTGTTATTCAAAAAAACATTAACCCTTTGTTTACAGCTGGCGCTTAAAGAAGCAGTTTTTAGATAGAATTAGATGTTATTCTACACAATAAGAAAAATATTAACTAATAGCGATTGTTTAAGAAAATGAGTCTGCATAATAATAGACAATTTTAATGTCATCTATACTTTCATTGTAGGTAATACGAATATATTAATAGAAACGAAACTTTCAATATTTCGTTATACGATAGTTACTTATACTTACTAGAGGAGTGAGACGTGTTCACGGTTGATGTAAAGTAGCCGAAACGTTGGAAGTATGTAGTTTATAGTCAAAAATGAAAAATCGTTTAGTAAATCCGAAAATATTAGTTTCATTTATACTAGAGGAATTGGATAATATATATTTATTCGACCAATTGAATATTCATAGAAAATCAGTGTTTGTGAGACGTCTTTCTTAATCTTATCAATTTTATCGAATGTATCAGTAAAATAAATTTTAGGATATATAATGTAATATATGTAAGCAACATTATTTGTGCTCTAAGTGAAGTTTGATAAATGTATGGACACTAGGTGTGACGGATACTTGTACCATTACTACGAATTTACATGGTACAACTAAATACAAAGAGTTTTCATTCATACATTTTCATACATATAAAATCTAAACATTATGTACTACGTTTATTTTGTTGAAGCATAAACTTTGTAAGCGTACTAAACAGTTTAAAAACGGAGTTCCTTGTATCAGTTAAAAATGATTAATTTGAAATATATATACTGAAATAAATATATATACCCGCGTGGAGTTCGGTTATATTGCGTTTCCAGAAGAACCTTTCAAAAGTCTGGTATAAAAATTATTCTATGTTCTTTCCCAAGATCAACTCTATCTCTGTACTAAATTTCATTAAAATCAGTTCACTGGTTTAGGAGTGAAAGTGTAACAGACAGACAGACAGACAGAGTTACTTTCGCATTTATAATATTAGTAGGGATTAAATAATTTTGTGATTCTTCTATATATATAAAAAAGTCCCAAAATTATACTTTCATTTAGCCGTGCTGTTAAAAAAAAGGCCGCTAATTGGTTAAAACATGTTTGTACTAAAGATAAGACGCATTAGGACCAATATCTTAGCCACTTAGAACGTTAAGTTCACTACTCAATACAAGTACTTACAATCTGTGAACAAATGTTTTGAAACGAGAAAAGATAACATGAAAATTTATATTAAAATGATTTAAGGAGAGATTAATTCGCGTACAGTGTGAAACATACTTGACTTGCGAGAAATCAGCGGCCTGAAAGCCAGCTTATATTTTTAATTCCCCCATCATATCAAAGCATCCTGCTGTCACGCCAGCATAAACCTCCTTAACGGATACGGCTAATCTGACAGCACTCGGATGTTTTGACAGCAGCGCAATTACCTGCCACTTTGGCGGTTACACCCAACAGTTCACATCCTGCGTTCGTTGCACCTACATGACCTGGGAATTAAATTGCCACTAAAGAGTTTTCAATATTTTGACTGACATGTTAAAACCTCTTTAAAGGTTGAAATACAACTTAATAACTACGTTGTCTCCGTTTGTGGCTCAAAGTCAGAACGATCGTACTGTTAACATTTTTTAGCACGATTATGTTTGTTGTACCAAATGTATAATTTCTTTGATTTCGTTTCTAGCATTTCATATATTAGCCACAGAAAAATAGTTTTAAGTTTTAATAAAAATTGTTATGATATTTATGCAAAATTGTAACGCTAACCTTCTGTATATTAAATTGAAACATTTGTTCATATCTTCTTCTACCTGGCAATTTCCCAGTTTTAACTAGGGTTTGCCTATATTTGTTCTTATATAATACTGCAAAGCACGTATAGCCTAATTAAAGCTCAAAAGCGTATCGTTTGTATGGAAAAACTTTAAAATGCCTTACAAACTTCCATAACAATATATCATTTATAAAGTACGTATCGTCAAAGATATTAAAACATATGATTAATAAAGCAAAAAAACAACTACACATAATAAGAATTAAAGTATAAAATTTCATATAATGTACGGAATATATCCCAAAATTGGTAACAAAGTGTGACACAGATAGTATCATCTAATTTAATTAAACTATACTTCCAAGTAGTGTATGAATCGCCACTTGAGGCGTCAATGCACCCTCTGTGCGCTTGGGAACATGCACTAATGTGGGCAAACTCTGTTAATATGGCCGACGTTTTAAAACGCATTGTGAATATTGAAACACTTGAGCTTTGAATTTTAATATATATGCACCAATTTTACTCGGACATACAATTACGTACTAAATATTATTATATACATAACTAGAACCCGGCGAACTTCGTATCTACCTATAATCAAGGAATATCTGTTACGTTTTTTTATTTATATTTTTGGAGTTTACCTATTAAAGCCATAAATATCCGTGTTTTGAAGTGCGACAGAATGATTCACATATTAGTTAGTTATCAAATGTAATGTCAAAAAAAACGTTTGCATCAACAACTACTAATAAATTAAAAATCAATTAAAAAAAACATTGTCCAGTGGACAAAATTGTGAATCTAAACAATTCCCAGATCCCCTTGAACACACACAAAAAAATTCATCAAAATCGGTCCAGTCGTCGAGAGAAGTTCAGTGACATACACACTCACAGAAGAATTATATATATAAAGATATAATAAACCTTATGTCAGATATTTTTTAGGATTATATTTCTGTGTTAAATATTCAAAAACAATTATATATTAAATGTATTATGTTCGCGTCTGTACAGTTTATAAATAGCTGTGTACTGAAGTCTATGTAACATTTATGACAAATTTAGAATGAGATGTAGAACAACTTCTTAATATTTATTTAGTCTTTGAATGATCGTACACTCGTGGACTATTCAATAGTCTACTTGTGTAAATGTTTGCTACAATAACATTTTATCCAGTTTACATTAAATTTCTTATATTTATTAAGTTTTTAATATTATATTAAATTTAAATTTAAAAAATGTATTTTCTTATAATAATCGGACTGTATTGTTTCAATGTATTCCTGTTATTATGTCCCAATTAAAATAGACGAATTGTTTTAGATGTTTTAAAAATATCTGCTCATGCTAATTAATAAATTATATAGTAATATTTTTTTATACACTATAACTATTGTGGAATAAAAATAATAATTTGTAATCATGATTTTGATAATCATAAACAAATAAAAACTTTGAGACAATCATTTTTTAACATACCTACAGCTATCATATTCTGTAGAAATTGTATAATAAAATGTACATACTAAAGAATAATGACAATTTAAATATAAAAGATTACAATATTATTAGATTTGGCACTATCCTTTATGTAATTTATTTATCATGTATAAATTAAAAACAAGTTTAATGGCAGTATGACAGTCAACTAATACACACAAATTAAAAAAATATATATAATTTTAAGTTCCAAATTTAAAGCAATCATAGTTTTAATGTAATGTATGCAAGTTTTAATGAAATCATAAGGGAAGGAAAATAATAGTGTTAATATACACTAATAAAATGAAAGGGAAACTTTTAAAAATATAATACTGAATTAATTTATTAATAAATAGAACTGGTAAATAAATTATATAAAAGAATTGTTTGGACTTATGTTTTTAGAGATAAATTCGAAAATTAAATAAATGTATGTACATTTTAGTTTTTCCAGAGCCATTCATAATTGTTATATAGCATAGTATCTAAAATATATATCAAGATTGTTATAAACTAAATTTATCCGTCTAGTGATAAGGAGATATCAATTTTGGCTTCGTTCCCTGATAGTATTCATGAAACTTTGAATATCAATTCACGTATTCTCATCAATGACTTGTTTATATACGTAAATGTTTTATAAATTTGCTAATCATCAATCTTTTTATAAATAATTTAACATTGTAAAAGGTAATTTAAATACATAACACTTACCGACAAATAATATCGCGAAATCCAACAACACTTTTCGCAAGATAAACTTCGAATCACGATCTATAGTGATTGAATGATTTCTAGAGTTCGTTTTACGATCATTTCTCTCCATTTTGGAAACCAATAAATTAATTCGATTAAAAACGGACTTTTAAATCATGAAACTTTAATACAAACGTAACCAAACGTCAACAAAAGAGGATGAACTGTCAACAGTACACACGTCAAACACACAGCGCATGCGCGCGTCGACTGGGACACGCGAGTCGCAGCGTAACGAGTGTTTTCAGAGCTAGCTACTTGTTTGTTAATTTACATTAAAAAATATATAGCAAATATAATAGTCATAAAAGCAAAAAGCGCACATTTATACAAAGATAATATTAATTACAATGATTACTGTTATAATTGTATAATTGCTGTTATAATTAATAATATAATTGTATAATATTATTAATACATATAATATACATCTCCGTCTTACTGGGGGACAAAATGTTAAGTTTTGGTTTATTTTAGATCCATTTCCAATTTTTTAATGGAACGACATAAAATTGTCAATATAAAATCGTTGATAAAAAACAGATGTTAAAGTATTAAGTTATAAATCAGAGCTACCCCAGGTAGTGAAACATAAATTAATTAGTTACATCAACCATGAGAAATGAAGCCATAAAAATATTAATTTACCGATATACATCGATAAAATGTTTTATTTTTTTAACATCTTGTTTAAGTCGGCAACCGTGAAGATTCGACGTGACAAAGAAGTTTCAATAATCCCTCTTTTTTTAAATTAAAAGCAAAGGCTGCCGCTTTTATGATAATCGGTAGCTTTAGACGTGAGTCGTGACACCTGTGGGCCTTTTGTATTCTTGTTTGCTTTGAGGTATTGTGATACGAGTTTTGGAAAAAAAATTGTCTGTAACCCTTATACAAGATAATCATTTGGCGTATTAACAGAACTATCTTTTGACATAAATCATAAGTTTCAGTAATTACTTGAACTACAAGATATTTTTTTTTTGTTTTTTCAATAAGAGTCGGGTATATTAGACGGACTTCAAAAATTTTAAAAATGTAATGATTTTTCCACACATTGTTTAAAATTGTAGAACGTATGCTACAGTGTGTTTAATTACTGTGATAAATATAACTTATATGGCGCCTATAAGTTTTTCTGATTAGAGACAGTGGTCTTTTGACACTGAACAGAACTTATAAAAGCGACATCTGTCGTTACAAATTTATTATTTCTAGCAAACTGCCATCTGTTACACAATTCAAAAACACTTTGGTTCCGTAAAATTGAAACCAGAGGTTGTTTAGTAGTTTTTCACTAGATGGCGTTTGGATTAAATATGTTCTACTGGTTTGTAATTCTAGATGGCGCTTATAGTAATTTTTAATAGAATAATCATTTATAAAAACATGAAAATAAGTTATTGAGTCTTACCTACATTTTCCTATAAATTAGTTTGATAATCAAGCCACTTTTTGAGGATTTCAATTAAATTTCCCTCAAAAACTATACCTGAAGGTTAAGTCATATTTAAATTGCACAATATTCATGAAGTAGTTGTACAAACATCAACAGGGGTTTTAGGTAATGCCTAGCAAACATGACGAGGTAATCCGTCAAGGAGCTTTATATTATGAGACGTCGTGCAAACATTTCTATTTGAAAGATAAGCGGACGGATTATCCTCCCGATGTTAAGGCGAAAGCTGCATTTTACCTTTAAAATATTTAGAGAACAGAATTTTGTAAATGCAAATTCTATCTGATTATTTAGGGCTATTTTACTAAAAAGTTAGTTCTTTCTTTTATATAGACCCATAGAAATATAAATTGAAGAATGTTGAAAGGTTTATATTAGATTGTTTCCAAAGTGACCAATCACTAAAACACGTTGATATAAAATACTATGTTATCCGTTTATTCATCGACTTGGTATTCAATGATCAATCAGTACGAAATAATATCATAGTACCTAATATATATTATATATCTATAAAAGTTTTTTACTAGGTATATAATAGTAAGAGAAACATAGGTATATATGTATATATATTTTCTTTCGATTCTTAGCTCTGTAACTGGACAATGCATAAAGCCAATAGCTCTAGGTAGGTACTTCTAATTTCTTATGAACGCTTTTTGAAAATTGGTGTTTCTTCCTGCAACTAATTAAAAAATTAAGAGTTAAAGTAAAGAAGGTAGTGAATGTGTCTAATTGTATTTTACTATATCTGTTTTACAATTTTTACGTTTCCACCAGCCATACAGAAACTGCTTAGTTATTATTATAGGTATTTGAGACAAATTTTGTATTTTTTTTGGGTTTTACACAGTAATTATATATTTTTAATGATTTATTACGCATTTAATATAAATGAAATATTATTTTCCTGCAAATTCGAGATTGCAACACGTTTCCTATTTAGTAAAATTGTACAAAGCCTTTGATTTAGTTCCTGTTAAATATTTCAATATCCTCGCTTCCGAGAAGAAAATAGTTGTGAACTGTTAGCCGGAGGTTATAAGCTAGATATTTATTATAAGTACGCTTAAATATCTCTTTTAAAGGTTTATTCCTGAGATAAAAGAAAAAACAAATGAGATTTTAATACGTACGTACCTACATTTGAAATAACCTATGCCCAAATTATATTACATATTTTAAGTTATATTAAAAATCATAGTTAGTCATTACTTTAACTGGGCATACATATATATAAAAGAAAGTTGTGTTAGTTACAATATTAATAACTCAAGAACTGCTGTAGCGATATGGTTGAAAATTGTTGGGAAGATGGCTTAGAACCAGGAGACGGACATAGGATATTTAATTCTTTTTGATCGAAAAAGAAAAAGAATACTTAACAAATTCCTATATCTTGTTATTTACGGCCTCTATGTCGGAATAGAGTTCGCCTTGTCAGATTTACATATATCACTTAGGTAATTCTAAATTAACGCGTACGAAGTTGAAGGCAAAAACTAGTAATTTAAATAAACGCTATATAATGTATGTAAATAATCATATTGTATTCAATTTACAGTTATTAGTCTCAAGCGTTGTGATAGCAACTATGAAAATAACTGTAGGCATTATTTTTTAGGAAGTAATAAATCACGAAATACGTCTTTTATAACTGAAACAACAGAAATTATAGAGAATATTGAAAACTTGATAACTTTTTAAAAATTTATAAAATAAATCCTACAGTTCAAATGCCTGTAAATAATTTTCAATAATATAAATGTATTAGTAATTTTATCAAATACAGCTTTTGTAAACCGAAATACAAATGATTGGGTTAACTGAAATAATCAGTGACGAATAGCTCATGTGTTAACTATTTCATTTAATTATTCCCACTTTAATGTTTATTACAAAAATATTATTATTAAATGATCAACTAACTTGCTATAATGAAATTTAATTTCACTAAAGTTATTCAAAGTCTTTAATTCCATACCATTACACATTCAATAACTGAACTCCAACTTCCTATGTACTAAGCTAACGCTCAAAGAAATTTTCATAAAACTACTTTGTAATATTAAAATGGTATCTTGAAAAATTTTGCTTACAACCGAAGACAGTTCACGATGTCGGCGGGGCCCCTTTACAGTCGAGGCCCCCTTAAAATCGAGGCCCCCTTGTGAGGGCACTAACAAGATTCGTGTCGAGTCTTAATTCGTTGTAATTTTAACTATGATACAATTCTTATTTAAGTACGAGCACCATTAACACTACAGCTTAATAAATTAGCTTCAATATTACTAAATATAATTTATAATTATTATTTTAGTATCTTTTCCTTCATTATAAAGCAATCTCATTCAATTATTTGAGTCGATTAAATGCGTAGCTTTTTATTAAAACATTTGTTTCTTGATAACTATGATGAATGGAATAATAAAGATCATATATTGAATTTGAGCCACACTGCACAATAATTTGTAGAATTAAATAAGATAACTGACTGCAAAGTTATTTTTTATTCCAGTTTCTTAGTGCAGCGAATATCTTAACCTGGTCGATGTCCAAGGAAGTAAATATTAAACAATAACTCCCGGATAATATCTGTAGTTTCTATACTTTCCTTATAGTTAAACTTAATGCAGTTAGATAAAAAGGTATATCAAATTAAATTAATATATGTATATTTATAAAAGTGGAAATTTTAAATAGAAACTGTAAAGTTAAATTAATTAAATAATTTAAATTGATCAGTGACAATGACTAGCGAGGTAATTAGCACACACTCAGACAAAACAGCAAACAAAAGCACCCAACGCGTTCGTAAAATTTGAAAACGGTAAACAAACGCAAAATTCCTTCATTACAGCCAACAAAGCCTACAGTCGGCTACATACAAATAACTGGCAGCGTCCAATTTAAATAACAACCTCGCAAAGCTGAAAAACAACCCGTAACCGAAGTTGAGAATAAATTAGCAACCACCCTCCCCCCATTTCCCCAATGTGTACATTGTGCAAAATATTATTTGCCTTGCCAGACAATAATAGGATCTATTGCCCCGCCCTGACATGTTAGCTTTAGCCAGCTCCGCCCCGCCAGTGGCTGGCTTCCATTGGCCGTGAGGATGTTTCGTCTCGGTCCAGCTCGAGGCTCGTCTCCCTCGCACGTGTAGCTTTTCCCTCGACGCCCGAGGGGTAAATGTTTTGGTAGGAAACACATACGAGGGTTTTCCAGAGCCGCGTATTGTTGGGGAGTTTTCGTTAAGAGATATTTTTTACGCGCATTTTATTCGTAGATACCTGAATTGTGTGTTAGAATTCGCTTTATGAGATTTTTCAATACTCAGAGTTCTTTAGCGAGGGATTAAAGGATCTTTTTTTACGCATCTCCGTAAACAGTTACTTTTCCTCGTTTGTTGCCTTCTTTTAAAAATTCTCGATGGTTCTTTTAAAAGCTTTGCTTTTATTTTAATCTCGACAATGCTTACCACAACTTCTGTTTTACAACTTGTAATATTTTAAAAATATATATTATTCTTACTAGCATTTAAACCCAAAATATTTTTTTTCTGTTGCTAAAACAATACAATAGAATATTAAAAAAGTAAAATATTGCAGATAGATCGACAATATGTGAGGATATATATCAAAAGAACTTTTTTTAATGTAAAATAAATTTAAAATTTATACATAGAAATTTGTACACCAAATACGTTAACATCCAAAATAAATACCACAACAAAGTTAAATCGATAGTCAGCCTACTAATAATTAGTTGACGGTCTGAAATTCATGCACAAAGCACCGACCCGCAGTAATAATAACGACAATTGTTGTGTTTACTGAAACGTAAACGGTGCGAGTGAGCGAGCGTGCCCGGGGGCGGAGCTGACGCGGAGCCTGGCCGGCCAGCCCCGCAGTCTGTGCCGCGCCGCGCGATACAACGCACCTCTGACATGTGACCGCACAGCATGGAGGACTGCGACCTCAACCAGTACAGAGACATGATCATCGAAGGAGACCTGCCGCTGGACCTCCGGCCGCCGCCGAGGCTCTACATACCGCACTACCTGCGAGACGACCGCGAGGAGTATCAACAGGACGATACATACGTATCAGTGGACGAAGATACACCCGAACTACCGCCGCCGTCGAGCGACTCAGACAGATACGACGCCTCGAGTCCCAGCGAGTCCAAGCCGAGCTCCCCGAAGAAATCCAAACAGAAGTCTTCGTCGCAACTCATCAAACCGCCGTACTCATACATCGCCCTGATCACAATGGCCATCCTCCAGTCGCCGCACAAGAAGTTAACGCTAAGCGGGATCTGTGAGTTCATTATGACCAGATTTCCATATTACCGTGAAAAGTTTCCAGCGTGGCAGAATTCCATCCGTCACAACCTCAGCCTTAACGACTGCTTCATCAAAATTCCCCGCGAGCCAGGTAATCCGGGGAAAGGGAATTATTGGACGCTTGACCCTTTAGCGGAGGATATGTTTGATAATGGCAGTTTCCTCCGCCGTCGGAAGCGATACAAGCGCCCGGCGCCGTCCCTCCAACACGCTCATGCAGTGGTCGCTATGCTGGCCCGGGAGGCCTACGCTCCTCTGCTGCCTCTACCGTGTTATTTGCCGCCGTCGCCTCTCTTATCGTTGCCGCGTCCACCGCCGGCGGCGTTGCGTCCCGTTCCTTTGCCGCCTCGAGTCCCGGAGACAACAGATACAAGAGGGAAGCGATCAAGAAACGGTTTTTCTATAGAATCTATCATCGGTTCTCAGGAGAACCACGTCAGCGAGCCGCGACGTAGCGCTTTCTCGCCGCTTCATCTCGGTAACGGCCCGCCCGACGACTGGGCCAGATGAATGTTCTTGAACGGGTGCGTTTCTAATTCCCATTCATTTTAGAACGTCCCCATGGACCTGGCTCTTATCTGGTAGTCAATGTTATGGAATTGTGTGTGTCCGGTACGGTATATAAATGTGTACAGTCTGGTGACATTGTAAAAACAAATGTACAATACAGCTACGGGTTACTGTCTCGTTAAGTGTCATTAAATCATAAGAAAAAATTTTTGCTTACATATTTAAAGACCAAACCAGATTGTAGCAGTATCGCATATTTTTATAAGTAACGTATCTCGGTGTGAGTATTACAAACAACATCTACAGCATGTTTATTATAATAATATATGATTAATATTTTGAATTTCGTCCGTAATATAAATGTAAGGTAGAAATTGTACCAGGTTTCTTATAATCGCGACTATTTGGCGAGTGATGAAAAAATTATTTTTGACAGCAAAATATACCTAACCATTTATGAACTTTGAAAGAATATTTGCTGTAAATATTAAACTGGATTATTTATTTCATGTTTTTTTTTAATTTAAAATATTTTTTTTATGTAATTAAAATATTTGTGTTATTTTATTGAAATACAGTTGCGATAAATAATGTGTATGTATAAATTAATAAGTCTAGTCATTTGTACAAAGTAGGTAAAAGAATAGTTTTGTAAATATATTGTAATATTTCGTTACTAGTTAGCTAATAAGTAGATAACTTACACTTTTTAAAATATTTTGCCCAACCGACGCTGCATTATATTATGACTGTAGTATATTTTCTTGTATAATAATTAATTAAAATACCAAATATATAACTATAGAAGATAAAACGATATTTTATTTATGAAACGATACCAAACTGTGCAACTTGAATGATTAAGATATTAATATTAACAAAAGAATTGAACGCCACCATTTTATCGTGTAATGTTTCAATTAATTTTTTCTGACAATAGCTGAAAAATTTAAACAGTACCGATATAAATATATATGGGTTTTAATTATTGTGTGAGGATAAAAGGCTTTTCTTAACGATATTAAAATTAAAAAGAAGTCATATTATTAGTTTATTATATTAAAGAACAATTAAATGAACCAATTATTTAAAATCTACATTAAATTTATGATAAAAACGGAATGATTAAGTTAAATGGCGGGAATAAAAACATATGTATCTTTGATAAAGTATTAGTTTTAGTTCAAAAACGAGACGAGTGTATTTTCATTAAAGCATAAACACTTTTTTAAATAATTTAATAACACAAAGGAAGTTTAAAAAAAAAAATTTTTAGAAATAATGTACTCGTACTAAAATACGAACTAACGCGTCGTTTGGAGATCAAATCAAGTTTCAGAAAATCAGGGATATACAAAATAATAGCATAGTATATATAAAAGAATGTTGTGTTAGTTACACTATTTATAACTCAAAAACGGCTCTAGAGAAATGGTTGAAAATTGGAGGGAAGATAGCTTATTACCAGGACATGGACATAGGATATTTAATTATGTTTAATCGAAAAAGAAAATAACTTAATAAACTCTAGGGTAGAATAGAGTCAGCCCGGTCAACTATACATATATTACTAATTCCAAAATAAACGCGAACGAAGTCGCGGGCAATAATTAGTATCATATAAAATATACACACGCTGTATGTTAAGACAATGTTACTTTAATATTATTATTAAATATCATAGTTCAAACATTTACATAAGATTCGAGCCGGTTGTAATAAGTTTATATAAACTTGCTAATTTTGTTATTATATCATACATTGTTGCTATTTGCTGCAGGGTTGTCCAACATATTTAATAGATAAGGATAGAAAACATTAATTATTTTAATTCTATTTGTAAGATGACAAGTAATGGAATCCAGTTAGAATGAATGTTGTTATTTGAACTTTTTATAAGTATTTTTTTTTGGGCTGACTGATGCAATGTTATGGGTAACTCCAGAATTTTTTAATATTGCTATGAATAATTACGGACTTAGTTTTATTATACTTTGTCCATTCTCATCTATAGATGTAATGATATTCTTCATAAAATGTTATCTGAAATCTTCCAAATGGATTAAAAATACCGTTTTAAAAATTTTCCTTACCATGGATACCTAAAAATTTTCTTTATGTTACAGTTATAATATGTGCGTTAGTAGTCATTTACAGTTAATTGAGTTCTTTATCTTCTTCTTCTTCCTGGCAATTTCCCAGCTTTAGCCAGGGGCTGTCTTGAGTTATTTATCTGTTTGCTTTTAATACTTATTATGATTAAAAATCATGCAGATTTTTATTGCTCACACTAATTTTCTAGTCTATTATTAATAAAAAAAGCCAAAAGGAATAAAAATAATAGTAAATGAAAAAAATATGTGGAACATTGACATTTTAAATATTAACTAACAAAACCAAGTAATCTAAACCAAAACTTTATTCGAACAAGTAATAACACTAAAATATCACCATTTTCATGTATCAAGTTTAAACTACCGGTTTTCTGCTTTTGTGTAGAAAGTATTGAGACTGTTGGTTTGGTTACCAAATACATAAATAAAACCAGATTCTTACCTATATTTTTACCCTGAATATTGAACAAAGATTTGTATATTTTAAGATCAATAAGTAATATCAGAACAGCAACCCTCGTTCATTCAGTGCACATATGTATTGTTGTCTTTGTAAATATAATGGTTATTATAGTTGGTATTAGACGTTATCTTGGGCGTCACGCACTAACAAGATATAACGGAACGATTTATTTATTTTAATTATTTATAACTTATGCAAATCACGACCCTACGTTATGTTTTATATGCAAAACGTTTTTCTGAATTTTTCCGTTCTATAATACATTGTTTCTATAAAAATGTTCATCTAGGAATTGTCGGGAGATTGTAGAAAAATATAGTATATTTACTATTTATATGTAAAATTGTTGAACAGTCTTTGTTCATTGTCAGAATATTCTGGTTTTTATATGGAAGCAGCGGTTATCAAAATTACTTTGAAAAGATCATGATCTTTTAATCACCGTTAAAAATTCAATATGCATAAAAATTTTGGTTGAAATATTTTTAAAGTTCCAATAATGTTTATAAAAAATTATATCAGAAAAAAACTTGTTGTTTCTTAATATAAATGAAGATTATTAAATGAAACCCGTACAAAGGGTCAGATTACGAAATCTAATCGAAAGAAACACTCAAAAAGATGTCTTTATGATTATTTACAGTGTAATTGTGTCGCTTATACACAGAAATTCTTGTGTCAATGTTGGAGACGAATGGTGTATCACGAGATACCGTCTTACGAAAACTTAACGGATCCCTGATAAGAATTATGTGGAAACAGCTGGCTCCACGGCCGAAATTCAAATACTTAAATACTTAATGAGATCTAAGGCTTTCGCGAGTATTCATTTAAATGAAACTAATATTTTTACGTACGTAGAAACATACTAATGATACTTAAATTTTTTATTTTATATTCATTATTATAAATTAAATAGTAATTTAGGAAAATCTTGTTTTGGTATACATTGCAGGAGCAACAGTTTCCTATGTCAATTTACAAAAAACACTGAAAACTATGTATTACTTGTAACAATGAGATGCGAAAACAAAATATTTCATAAAAATATGTAGCATAATGCATTCTTTTATAAAAGCAACATAGCACAATTTATAAAAGCAACATTTACATATGTTTTTTAATAAAACTTTTCTAGAAGAACACAATCCGAAGTTATTATAAACCTTGAAATGTTCTGAACAATATCGCGTTCTGAAACATGAAGACTAATGACGACATTCAAAGAAACATTTCATAATTTTTTTAAATAACTCTCTGCTGCACTGTTTGTATTTAGGAGGTACTTTATCAAAGACTCACTTTTGAAAATGTTTTCAAATGAGTTCACGTTTGTTTATCAAGCATAAATTACTCACGGTTGTACATTCGTGATAGAAAGTTTTTATGTATTACATTTATAATAAGCAGAATTTCACTTAAAACTTACACTAGGACTATTCAAACTGAAGTATCCATTCTGGTTGTAATTAAATTAAATCTTAAACTACTGAGGGTAGTTGCCAAAATTTAAGTTTTTATAAATAACAATTACATATACATGAAAATAAGAATATTTCTTAAATGCTTTGTTTAATCCATATATAATTTGGTTTATGTCTTAATAGTTCTCATATTCACAGCAGCATGACGAAGACAACGCGGTTTTAATATAGTTATATGAATATCAAAGCCGTTTTCTTCGCGTCTGTATCAACTCTAGTCAAATAATGAGCGAAGTTTGTGGCTCGTGTCATGAAATTGTTGTTTTTCTATTTGTTCTAAAGCGTGTTTTGTAAATAAGATAAACCTATTTTTTTGATGTATTTGTTATACCTACTTTAAAATTCCATGACTTAGTTTAATTTATTGGGCTTAATTTTTTGTTTTATTTAAGAAAATTATGGCTGGATGTGATATCATTGTATGGGTTTATGACGGATTCTTTTCAAAGTCATTATATTATGTTATAAATATTGATTACAAGAACATTTAAATACATAAGTACAGGTATTTTTCTCTTAAAGATAACATATATTTTCTAATATTACAAGCTTTATAAAATAATCGTATTTTTTTAAAGATAGAATAAGGTGGTGGTTCGATCCTGGCAAGTACCAATATTTTTCCGAGTCATATGTACTTTCTAAGAGTATTTAGACAGCACTGACACACGGTGAAGGAAAAGGATCGTGAGGAAACTTGGATATTTTCACAATCATAAGTTTGAAATCGCCAACCCGCCTTGAGCAAGCGTGGTGATTACTCTCAAACATTCACCATGTGAGAAGAGGCCTTTGCTCAGCAGCGGGCTCTGATAGGCCGATTATGATGATATGATGAAAAAGATAATGGACTTCATTCTTATCATTGGAATCTTTCTTAAAAACTAATAAGAGAATAATTATATATACATTTATACCTATATATTCAGAATTCTTAAA